TAGGCAGTTATTCATGAATCGGTTTGGGATTCTGCTAAAGGGGCACCAAAGAAAGGCTTTTATAGGGTGAATGTGGAAGTGTGGCAAATAAAATACACTGAGTTGGGTGTTGGTTTGCTTCTGTAGGAACCCAGGGTGCTGGAGCAACCTCAGTCTAATGGCCTATTAATTATTTTAACACCATAAAATAATGTATATCATGTTGCAAAATAAAACTTTTAGAAGGATTCCAAATACAACAAAAACCAAATTATTAGGGTACATAGAATTCTATTTGTGGGTTAGAGTCTATTTTTATTTTTACTATTTGTTTATTTTTGAGACAGGGTCCTGCTCTGTCTCCCAGGCCGGAGTGCAGTGGCACAATCATGGCTGACTGCAACCTCCCTGTCCAGGACTCAAGCAATCCTCCCACCTCAGCCTCCAGAGTAGCTGAGACCACAGGTTCGCGCTACCATGCCAGGCTAATCTTAGTATTTTTTGTGGAGATGGCGTTTGCCTAGGCTGATCTTGAACTCTTGAGCTTAAGTGATCCTCCCACCTCAGCCTATGAAAGTGCTGAGATCAGAGGTGTGAGTCACCACACCTGGCTAGAGTCTATTTTCATATTGTATATTTACATTTAGGTACTTTTTATTTTAAACAATAGTATAAATAAAAATATTTTATTCTATGAAGTGGTGCATGCTCATAATCCTAGCTTCATTAAGGAGACTGAGATGGGAGGAACACTTGAGCCCAGGAATTTGAGACGAGCCAGAGCAGAGCAACATAGCCAGAGACCCTGTCTCTAAAAGCAAAAAAAAGAAAAAAGGCCCTTTTCCAAGTTATTACACACTCTTAATAATTAATATTGAAAATTGCTCCAGAAACTTTCACCTTGTGAATGCATAAGCGTTTACTAAATCATTCCTATACCATTGTTCTTATAAAAATAGAGCCATACACGTAGTTTATACCTGAAAAATACTTTCAGTACTTTGAAGTGGTTCTCTAGTATAGATTTCCAAGCATGGAATTATTTACTCAAACTGCGTGAACATTTTAGTCTTTGAATATAAATTAACAAATTATTTTCTTTTTTATTTTTTGAGATAGAATCTTGCTCTGTTGCCCAGGCTGGAGTGCAGTGGCACGATCTCTGCTCACTGCAACCTCTGCCTCCCAGGTTCAAACAATCCTCCTGCCTCAGCCCCCCTAGTAGCTGGGATTACAGGCACTGCCACCATGCCCGGCTAATTTTTGTATTTTTAGTAGAGGCAGGGTTTCCCCAAATTGGCTAGGCTGGTCTCGAACTCCTGACCTCAGGTGATCCACCCACTCATCTTGAATTCCTGACCTCAGGTGTTAATGTTAATGAATTAATGTTAATGAACATAAACATTAATGAATATTAATAAACATTAATGAATATAAACCTTAATGTTAATAAATATAAAGCTACATCAACATTTTTACCAGCTACCATATTCCATTATATAAACATACCATAATTTATATAATCAGTCCTTATGGAAAGATATATTGTTTCAAGTTTACTATAAACAAAAATGAATCTAGGAATTCTGTTAATTTATAAACATCCAATGAGCTGTATTATAATGTAGAGTTATCCAAGACTCAATTTTATGCAAGTTAAAATAATAAATGAAGGGTAGCAAATTAGAGAGCCTATAACTTTTGAGCATGTATTCTATTGCTGCTTCAGCGAAGTACCACAAACCTAATTAGTGCCGTACAGCAAGATACATTTATTAAATTTAGGGTTCTGGAGGTTAGAAGTCTAAAATTGTTTGCATGTCTGAGTTTCTTCTGGTGGCTGTAGAAGAGAATCAGTTTCTAAAACTTTTCCAGCTTCTATAGGCTTTCTGCATTCCTTGGCTCCTGGCCCTGGCATCCCTCTGACATCTATTATACCGACGTATTTTCTTTGTCTTGGACACTCCAGCCTCCCTCTTATAAAGACCCATCTGATTACATTGGACCTAGAGGATAATCCAGGATAATCTTCCCATAGTAAAATTATCCTGGATGATTTAATCACATTGGCAAAATCCCTTTTGCTCTGTAAAGTAACATATTCACAGGTTTTGGGGATTAGGACGTGGACATCTTTTATTCTACCTACCACAAAACAGAGATCTAAATTTGTTTAGAAATGGAGAACCTCGAGCCTCACCTCAGACCAAGATCCCCATGTGATTCTATGCACACTTAAAATTTGAGAAGTACTATCTTTTTTTTTTTTTTTCTGAGACAGAGTTTTGCTCTGTCGCCCCCAGGCTAGAGTGCAATGGCGTAATCTCGGCTCACTGCAACCTCCGCCTCCCGGGTTCAAACGATTCTCCTGCCTCAGCCTCCCGAGTAGCTGGGATTACAGGCATGCACCACCACGCCCAGCTAATTTTTGTATTTTTGGTAGAGATGAGGTTTCTCCATGTTGATCAGGCTGGCCTCGAACTCCTGACCTCAGGTGATCCGCCTGCCTCAGCCTTCCAAAGTGGTGGGATTACAGGTGTGAGCCACGTTTCCAGGCCTGAGAAGTACTATCTTTCAATAAAATCAGAAGATACAGTTAAGCAAAAAGAAAATAAAGCATGGTCACAATACCCATCCAACTAGTGATAAACCCTCTTAGCATTTTGGCATTTATTTATTTCCAAAAGTGGGACATTCTGAACATAATGTTTTGCAATCCCCTTTTTTCACAATGCATTGTGAATGTGTAAACATGTCAACAAATACACTTCAAGATAATTTTATTTTAATTAATTAATTAATATATATATTTTTGAGACAGAGTCTCCCTCTGCCGCCCAGGCTGGAGTGCAGTGGCATGATCTCGGCTCACTGCAACCTCTGTCTCCTGGGTTCAAGCAATTCTCCTGCCTCAGCCTCCCTAATAGCTGGGATTACAGGTGCCCGCCACCAAGCCTGGCTAATTTCTGTATTTTTAGTAGAGGGGGGTTTCATTATGTTGGCCAGGCTGGTCTGGATCTCCTGACCCGCAGCAATCCACACGCCTCTGCCTCCCAAAGTGCCAACAATTACAGGCTTGAGACACTGCACCCGGCCTGTTTATTTATTCTTGAAATGGAGTCTCGCTCTGTCGCTTAGGCTGGAGTGCAGTGGTGCGAACTCCGCTCACTGCAACCTCCGCTTCCCGGCCTCAAGCGATTCTTCTGTCTCAGCCTCCTGAGTAGCTGGAATTACAAGCACATGCCACCACTCCAGGCTAATTTTTGTATTTTTAGTAGAGACGGGGTTTCACCATGTTGGCCAAGCTGGCCTCGAACTCCTGACCTTAGGTGACCCATCCGTCTTGGTCTCCCAAAGTGCTGGGATTACAGGTGTGAGCCACTGTGCTCGACCTCAACATAATTTTAAATGGCCAATTTGTATTTTATTATATATGAATGTATTGTGATTTAATCATTCGTCTCATTGGTGATTGTTTAGGTAATTTTATCTTTTTACTTTAAAAAACAGCCCTTGTGTGATTGACATTCTTGGAATGCGGAGCTTGGTTCAAATCCTAACATGGCCTTTTACTAGCTGTTTAACGTTAGGTCAGCTACTTGATTTCTCTGTGCTTCAGTTTCTTCATCTGTAAAGTGGACATAAAGAAAATACCTACCTTGTAAGGATCGTTCTGAGGATTAAAATAAATAATTCCCATAAAGATCTTAAAACTGTACCTGGAATATTCTAAATGAGCAATAAAGGTTTTCTATTATTAATCTTTATGAACACTTTACTATTTCCTTACAACTTCTCTTATTATTATTATTATTTTGAGACGGAGTTTCACTCCTGTTGCCCAGGCTGAAGTGCGATGGCGTGATCTCGCCTCACTGCAGCCTTTGCCCCCAGGATTCAAGTGATTCTCCTACCTCAGCCTCCCGAGTAGCTGGGATTACAGGCCTGCACCACCATGCCCAGCTAATTTTTTATATTTTTAGTAGAGACAGGGTTTCTCCATGTTGGTGAGGCTGGTCTTGAACTCCTGACCTAAGGTGATCTGCCTGCCTCGGCCTCCCAAAGTGCTGGGATTACAGGCGTGAGCCACTGCGCCTGGCCTTATTATTATTATTTTTAAGAAATATGTAGTTGGTGTGTATTTTTAATTAATTTGTTTATTTTGAGATGGAGTCTCTTATTTATTTATTTATTTTGAGACAAAGTCTCGCTCTGTTGCCCAGGCTGGAGTGCAGTGGAGCAATCTTGGCTCACTGCAACCTCTGCCTCCCGGGTTCAAGCGATTCCCCTGCCTCAGCCTCCCGAGTAGCTGGGATTACAGGCGTCCAGGCTAATTACTGTATTTTTAGTAGAGATAAGGTTTCACCATGTTGGCCAGACTGGTCTCGAACTCCTGACTTCGTGATCCGCCCGCCTCGGCCTCCCAAAGGGCTGGGATTACAGGTGTGACCTACTGCGCCCACCCCATATTATTTTTGAAATGTGTGAACTCTCTATATGTCCCAGGCTGGCTTCGAACTCCTGGGCTCAAGTGATCCTCCTGCCTCAATATCTGGAGTAGCTGGGACTACAGGCATGCACCACTGCGCCTGAGTAAGTTCTCTTTTTGAGGATAAGAACATTTAGGTGACTATGCTAGCTTTTAGCAGAGGCAAGCAAAACTGGATTTATGTCCTTTTATATTTTTCCACACTTTCTATTACTCAGGAGTAAACAGCAAGCAATTTGGGTAACTTAAAAAATAAACATTTGCGGGAGGGAGGGTGGACTGATGGGAGTAAGATTCTTTAAATAACTTTTCTCTGCTGTGACGGATCCGCAATTGATATCTAGAATAGAAAGCGTGAAATGGTTCTGATTGAAGCTTCAATCAACCCGGGAAACAATTGAGCTCCCTGGGAGTGGGGCAAACCAGACCTATGGTTTCCATGGTGACAGATCCGGCTAGTCCGGACTCCCGGCTCTTTATACTGCGCAAGCGCTCACAACTGATTTGGCTACCCCGCGCCTTTTGGTTCGAAGAGAAAGCCCCTCCTTCCCCTTCCCACCGTTCGCCTATCGCCCTCGCTCTTTGCTGGTCGCATGCGCGCTGGGCTCCTGTGACGTAGTTTTCGCGCGTCCGCGTCGTTTGGAACCGCGACGCCAAACATGGCGTGTTCCTAGAAGCCGCTTTCGGCATCAGTAGGCGGCGGCGTGGGGACTGGCAGCGTGGGCGCGGGACCAACCGACGCCACTTCGTGTTGGGAAGTGGGAGCGGGAGGGCCGGGCAATTCCCGACCGAACCAAACGGTGAGGCCCCGGCCCGAGAGCCACAGAGCGCGCGGGAGTGGAAGGGAGTGGGTTGGGCACCCGAGACCCGAGAGGCGAGGGAGGAAAGTGGGGCTACCGGGAGATGAGGGATAACGGTAGCGAGGCAAGGGCGGCCTGCAGACTTGGCTGTTTGCGTAACCTTAGGAACCCCGGGAACTGGGGGCTGGCCGAGGAAGCCCGGGAGTGGGCAGCATGGTAGCGGAGCAATCAGGGTGCGAGCTGGGAGGGACAGTATGCTAGGCTAAGCAGAACCGAGTGTACCCATCGTGGCCGCGGTTGCGGACCTGGGTGATGTATTTGCCCTTGGGGGATAGGTGGTGCAAAATTTGAGATAAAGTGGTTATCTCGATTATAAGACCGTTGTGCATTGTTACTGCGCACACGACCTTGTTGCTAATAGCAATAGTGTGATAGCTTTAAACATTTGACCCTTACATGCTTTTAATGAAAGAGGGAAGGTAGTTGTCCATTTGTAGAGAGGAGCTTCATGGAGAGGTATGGCCGCCAATTCTCAAGCTCAGCGACTCCTGCAGATTTGTATTTGGGGGTATTTGTGATTCAGCAAAACTACTTTTGCTCATTGCTTGTGTCATTTTTTCTTTATTATTTTGTGACATAGTGGTTAATGAGAGAAGTACTCCTATCTGAAAGTGATTTGACTAAATAGCAAGGACTGGTAAATAAACTACTGGTGCCAAGGTTGCAGTTGACATACCTCCTCCCCTCCATAATTTAAACGAGCTCAGTTATAGTGCGGTAGTGCCCTTCAGATTTCGGTTATTCTTCAGAAGGAAGTAAGGAAGAGCAGTTTGCAGCCATAATGCTTTCCCCTCCTCGGATAGGAATTTTCCTCCTCCATTTTCACGTTATTTCAAACTTCTCTGTTCAGTAGAGAAGCATCAGATTAAGGACAGGGTGACTCTTCTATAGGAGACATCCATTGCATGACACATTTTACATCTTTCATTACTGAGAAAAATTTCGGTGAAATTAGAAAAATTTTCATTTTCCCTTTTGGTTATGATAGGACTGGTATTTTCTCTGTTTCTGCAGTAACCTAGCACAGGGTATAGTAGAAACAATTATAGTAATGGTTTGTGGCCATATGTTATAGCCCCAGGGTAGGAGGGTGGTCTCTGCCCTAGTCGCACTTCCTAAGGCCAAAGAGAATTTTCACCACAAACACATTTGGCTGTGGTAATATGTTAGATGTTTTAAACAGATGTGTAAAGATTATCTGATCATTAATAGAAAAATCATCAGATTTTGTGATGTTTGAATATATTTACATATGGAATCAAACCAGAATGCAGCATGATCCTTGTAGGCATGTGGCTATTAAAATACACTGAAGATTTTTCCAGAAACAAAATTTTTTTTTCCCAGCAATAAAAATATTCAAATTTTGAATAAAGTAATGTTTGATAATTTGGATTTTGACCTTTGTGTTATATATTTGTACCTATGTGTATGTATTTAACCTCACTTCTAATTTAGTGTTATTGATGGTAATATTTTTTCCTTTCTTTATCAGCTTCAAATAGGGACTTAATTTCAGAGCATTTAAGGAATGGCAAAACACATTTAGTGCAAGTGTGAGTCTGTAGTGTCTTTGGTTTGCCGACTGTCAGGCTGATTACAGATAAGTACAGTTATAAGCTTTGCAGAACTTAAGTTGCATCAATGTTCTTTACCCTTGCTACTCAAATTGTGGTGTATAGCATCACCTGGGAGTTCATTAGAAATGCATGATCTCAGGCTCAATCCAGAGCTGCTGAATCAAAATCTGCAATTTTAACAAGATCTCTAGATTAAAGGAATGTTCAATAAATCTTGAGATGCACTACTTTGGTTGGTAACAGTTGAAGAACACTGAAGTAATGCACAAACCTGTATAAAAATTTATGGCATCATTTATTTTAATCTGAGGTGATCTTACGCTGATTATCCAGTCTGATGAAACTGAGGCCCAGAAAGGTAAATGCCTTGCAAAAGGTCACACATACCTAGATTTATAACCCAGATTCCAACTCATCCAGTGCTTTTCTTTTGCTGATTACTATCAGAGCTTGTTATATTAAAAATGAACTAAAATTCATGAATTACAGTTAGGTGTTCATTCAATAACAAACATTTATTGGGTACTGGACAGGCAGCCCAACAATACTGTGTGTCCCTGCTACGTGCTTCTGTTTATCATGGTGGCTAATAACCCACCACCTTTCCTCTTTATTTTCTTTGAGATGGGGGTCTCACTGTTGCCTAGGCTGGAGTGCAGTGGTGTGATCTCTGCTCACTACAACTTCTGCCTCTGGGGTTCAAACGGTTCTCCTGCTTCAGCCTCCAGAGTAGCTGGGATTACAGATGCTTGCCACCAAGCCTGGGTAATTTTTGTATTTTTGGTAGAGACAGGGTTTCACCATTTTGGCCAGACTGGTCTTGAACTCCTGACCTCCTTAAACTCCACCCACCTCGGCCTCCCAAAGTGCTGGGATTACAGGAGTGAGCCCGGCCCCCTCTTTACTCTTTTTTTTTTGAGTTGGAGTTTTGCTCTTTTTGCCTAGGCCGCAGTGCAGTGGCGCGATCTTAACTCACCGCAACCTCTGCCTCCCGGGTTCAAGTGATTCTCCTGCCTCAGCCTCCCGAGTAGCTGGGATTACTGGCATGCGCTACCGCGCCCAGCTAATTTTGTATTTTTTGTAGAGATGGGGTTTCTCCATGTTGGTCAGGCTGGTCTTGAACTCCCGACCTCAGGTGATTGCCCACCTTGGCCTCCCAAAGTGCTGGGATTACAGGCGTGAGCCAACACGCCTGGCCCCCTCTTTACTCTTTACTGGTTACAGTTCCCTTCTGCTTCATAGAGGAAGTGAAATACATTGAGTGGAAATTTCATTGCTCTCTCTTCTGTTTCACTTGTAAACATGAAGACCTCTATCTGTCCATCTCTAATTATATTCTGATTTTTTTCTCTTTATGGGCAATATTTCCTTCATGTGTTTGCTAGGGCGGCCACAACAAAATACCTTATATTGGGTAGCTGAAACAAGAGAATTTTTTTTTTTCTCACAGTTCTGGAGGGTGGAAGTCCAAGATCAAGGTGCAGATAAGATTGGTTTCCTGTAAGACCTCCATCCTTGGCTTGCAGATGGCCACCTTCTTGCTGCCTTTCTTTTTTTTTTTTTTTTTTTTGAGACGGAGTCTCACTGTGTCACCCAGGCTGGAGTGCAGTGGCGCCGGGTTCACGCCATTCTCCCGCCTCAGCCTCCGAGTAGCTGGGACTACAGGCGCCCGCCGCCTCGCCCGGCTAGTTTTTTGTATTTTTAGTAGAGACGGGGTTTCACCATGTTAGCCAGGATGGTCTCGATCTCCTGACCTCGTGATCCACCCGCCTCGGCCTCCCAAAGTGCTGGGATTACAGGCTTGAGCCACCGCGCCCGGCCCTTGCTGCCTTTCTCATGGTCATCTTGTGTGTACATGCACCTCTGCTGTCTCTTTTTCTTTTCTTTTCTGGTTTTTTTTTTTTTTTTTTTGAGATGGAGCCTCGCTCTTGTCTCCCAGGCTGGAGTGCAGTGGCCTGCTCTCAGCTCACTGCAGCATCTGCCTTCCTGGTTCAAGTGATTCTCCCGCCTCAGCCTCCTGAGTAGTTGGGATTATAGGCGCCCCCCATCACACCTGGCTAATTTTTATGTTTTTAGCAGAGACGGGTTTCACCATGTTGTCCAGGCTGGTCTCAAACTCCTGACCTCAGGTGATCTGCCCGCCACAGCCTCCCGAAGTGCTGGGATTACAGACATGAACCCCTACACTGGCCTGCTGTGTCTTTTTCTTTCTTACTTTTTTTTTTGAGACGGAGTCTCGCTCTGTCGCCCAGGCTAGAGTGCTGTGGCCCGATCTCGGCTCACTGCAAGCTGATCTCGGCTCACTGCAAGTTCCGCCTCCTGAGTTCATGCCATTCTTCTGCCTCAGCCTACCGAGTAGTTGGGACTACAGGTGCCCGCCACCTCGCCTGGCTAGTTTTTTGTATTTTTAGTAGTGACAGGGTTTCACTGTGTTAGCCAGGATGGTCTCAATCTCCTGACCTCGTGATCTGCCCACCTCGGCCTCCCAAAGTGCTGGGATTACAGGCATGAGCCACCGTGCCCGGCCCCTGTCTCTTTTTCTTATAATGGCATCAGTTATATTGGTTTAGGGCCTTACCCTAACAACCTCATCTTATCTTAATCATCTCCTTAAAAACCTTATCTCCAAATACGGAGGATTCAGGGGTTAGGGCTTCAACATGAATTTTCGAGGAACACAATTCAATTCATAACATTCAGTTATTCCTTTTACAATTAGTACTAACTTAACAAGGATTTAGGCATAACCAAGTCTCTTACCTTTTTTTTTTTTTTTTTTTTTGAGACAGAGTCTCACTCTGTTCCTCAGGCTTGAGTGCAGTGGTGCTATTTTGGCTTACTGCAATTTCTGCCTCCCAGGCTCAAGCAATCCTCCCACCTTATCCTCCCTGGTAGCTGGGACCACAGGTGAGGCACAGGCCACAATGTTTGGCTAATTTTTGAATTTTTTTTGTAGAGATGGGGTTTTGCCACATTGCCTAGGCTAGTCTCAAACTCCTGGGTTCAAGCGATCTGCTGGCCTTGGCCTTCTGAAGTATATTGAAATTATAGGGGTGAGCCACCATGCCTGGCCTCAAATCAAGCCTTATCTTCAATATACTCTCCTTACCTTAGATCCTTAGATTACTCTTCAGCTTTGTCTGTAATTATTTTTCTTAGTTTTTTTTTTTTTTTTCCCTTTTTTAAGAGAAGAGGTCTCTGTTACCTAGGCTGGCCTCAAACTTCAGGGCTCAAGTGATCCTGCCACTTTAATCTCATGAGTGGCTGGTACTACTTGTGTGTGCCGCCATGCCCAGCTTATTTCCTTTAAGTTTCTTGAAATAATTCTCTATATTCATTTTCTTCACCTCCTTATTACTT